GAGGGAGATGGAGAAGGAGGGAGAGGGAGAGATAGAGGGAGATAGAGAGATAGAAGGAGAGAGAGGGAGGGAGATGGAGAAGGAGGGAGAGGGAGAGATAGAGGGAGGGACGGGGGAGATAGATGGAGATAGTGATAGAGAGAGGGAGAGGGAAAGGGAGAGAGGGAGAAGGAGGGAGAGGGAGAGATAGAGGGAGATAGATAGAAGGAGAGGAAGAGAGTGGGAGATAGAGGGAGAAGGAGGGAGAGATAGAGGGAGGGAGGGAGAGGGTTGATAGAGGGAGAGATGGAGATAGTGATAGAGAGGGAAAGGGAAAGGGAGATAGGCAAAGGGAGAGGGAGGGAGAAAGAGAGACAGGGAGGAAGAGAGAGGGAGATAGAGAGACAGAGGGAGAGAGAAATTGATGTACAATAGTCATTTCCAAAGTTTGCCGATTCACACAACCCACTAACCCTACACCCGGGTTCTTGCAGTTGTAGCAAAACTATTCAGATGATCTCTGAAGTCCCCCAAAAGTCTTCTGTTTTTGGATTTGCTTCATTCCTGTTGTCCTCCTGATGGTTCACACAACCCACAAATCTCCCAGTTCATACAACCCCACTACTAAATCTACACCCGGGTTCTTGCGGTTGTGGGAAAGCTGTATAGATTACCTCTGGAATCCCCCCAAGCGTCTTCTATTTTAGATTTTGCCTCATGCCAGCTGCCCTCCTGATGGTTCACACAACCACAAATCTGCTGATTCACACAACCCCACCACTAAATCTACACTCGAGGTCCTCCAGTTTGGGGAAAGTTGTACAGATGACCGCTGGAGTCCCCAAGAGTCTTTTGTTTTGGGAATTGCTTCATTCCTATTTCCCTCCTGATGGTTCACACAACCCACAAATCTGCCAGTTCAAACAAACCACTTGTCAACCTACATCCGGATTCTTGCAGTTGTGGGAAAGCTGTACAGATGACCCCTGGAGTCCCCATGAGGCCTCTGTTTGGCCTTTGCCCCGTGGATGTTGCCCTCCTGCCCTCTCTTGATGATTGTGGGGTGATTTTTTTCAGCAAAACAACTAACAAAGCTGGCTAGAAAGAGGGCAACAGGCCAGGTTCAAGACTCTCCCTTCCAAGGGAGCGGGAACTGCAATTCCCAGCATGCTCAGCTATGATAGAGGGAGATAGAGGGAGAGGGAGAATGCTGGGAGTTGAAGTCCCCACCCTTCTAAGAGGATTAGGCCTTCTCGAGTTGGTGCAGCCTTCGGTTTCTATTTTGCTAATTCTCACCTATTTTTTCACCGCTGTCCACCCAAAATTTATGTCTATTTCTACCTCGCACCTCTCCCCAAACCAGCCGCTTGGCCAGAATTTCTCAACCTTGGCAACTCCAAGTTGCTTTTAAAACTCACATTCAGGTGCTGGGCAGATCAAGCCCACAGGGGGGTGGTGCTTGTGGGGAGGGGTCTCACTGGGGCAGTGGCGAGGACGGTTTCTGTGTCCCCGGGGGGATTCCTTTGCTCCCGTAATATTCCACCACCTGCTTGGGGACTTCAGCCAAAACGGTCTTGGCCAGAGCATTGGGGCCAGCCTGGGAATAAAAGAAAGGAGAGTGGGAAGGAAGGGAGGGAGGAAAAGAAAGGTAGAAGGAAAGGAAAGAGAGGAAGAGAGAGGAAGGAAAAGAAAGAAGCAAGGAAGGAAAGGGAAGAGGAGATGAGGAAGGAGGGAAGGGAAGGGAAGGGAAGGGAAGGGAAGGGAAGGAAGGAAGGAAGGAAGGAAGGAAGGAAGGAAGGAAGGAAGGAAGGAAGGAAAGAGAAGAAAGGTAGAATGTGAGAAAGGAAATGAAAGAAGGGAGGGAGGGGGGTGGAAGGGAAGGAAGGAAAAGATAGGTAGAATAAAAAGAAGAGAGAGGGGGCAGAAAGAGGAAGGGAAGGAAAGGAAGGAAGGAGACAGAGAATGGAACAGAGGAACGAAGGTAGAGAGAAGGAAGGAAAGAGGGAAGAAAGGAGACAGAGAAGGGAGGAAAGAAGGAAGGAAAATAGGTAGAATGAAATGAAGAGAGGGAGTGAGAGAAAGAGGAAGGAAAAGAAAGAGAAGGAATGAAGGAAAAAGAAGGAGACAAGGGGAAGGGAGAGAAGGATGGAGAAAGAAAAGAAAAAGGGAAGGAAAGAAGTATAAAGGACAGAGGGAGGAGAGAAGGAGGAGGATGGAGGAAGGAAGGAGGCAGAATAGAGGAAGGAAAGAAGGAAGGATGGAAGGAAGGACAAGGAGAAGGAAGGGAAGGAGGGAGGGAGGAGGAAAAAAGGAAGGAAATATAAAGGAGGGTGAGAGGAAGGAAAGAAGGAGGGTGAAGGAAGGGAGGGAGGAGACCGAGAGAATGGAGGAAGGAACAAAGGTGATAGAGGGAAGGAAGGAAAGAGGGAAGGAAGGAGACAGAGAGAAGGGAGGAAGAAAGGAAGGAAAGACAAATTGAGAAAGAAGGACTGTATACAGACCGAAATTCAAGCCCACAGAACCGATGCTCCAAGCAGGCCTTTAACCCCTCTTGGCGGCCTGGGTAGCTACTCCCACCCCTGCCCAGAAGAGCCTGGCAGAGCCCCCCCCCCGCCCTCACCTTCTTAAACTCCCTCACGGGCACAAACTGCACAATGTCGCGGACGGCCCGGCCCTCCTCCGTCTCCAGCATCCCGCGGTCCCCATTCAGCTCCCGCATGTCAGAGAAGTCGGCGTTCCCAATGCCCACAATGATGATGGAGAGAGGCAGACGGGAGGCCCGCACAACGGCATCGCAGGCCTCGGGCATGTCGCTCACCACCCCATCGGTCAGGATAAGCAGCACGCGGTACTTCTGCGGGAAGAGGAGAGAGGACGATACCTCAAAGCCACGAGGAGCAAATGGGACGAGACCCCCCCTCTGGTGCCCCAGATTAACAGAGTCGGAAGGGACTTTGTAGGTCATCTAGTCCAACCCCCTGCCCAAGCAGGAGACCCTACACCATTTCTGACAGATGTCAGAAGTCCAGTCTCTTTTTGAAAGCCTCCAGGGATGAAGCTCCCATAACTTCCGAAGGCAACTTCTGTTCTGTTGGTTGATTGTTCTCCCTGTCAGGAAATTTCTCCTTATTTCTAGGTTGACTCTATCCTGGATCATTATAAATTGTCCATTATTCCTTGTCTGGCCTTCGGGTGCTTTGGAGAATAGCTTGACCCCTTCCTCCTCTCTGGGGCAGCCCCTCAAATATTGGAAGACAGCTATCCTGTCTCCCCTGGTCCTTCTCTTCCCTAGATTAGCCAGTCCCAGTTCCTGCTATTGTTCTTCGTATGTTTTAGCCTCCAGTCTCCTCATCATCCTGGTTGCTCTTCTCTGCACTTTTTCCAGAGTCTCAATGTCTTTTTTATAAGTGTGGTGACCAAAACCGGATGCAGTACTCTAGGCGTGGTCTTACTAAGGCTATTAGTACCTCCCTTGATCTTTCTTTAAATTTTTATTTATACATTTTTCTTTAACATACGTAAGTGCTTAATAAACATTGTATTGTCTGTGTCAGTTTACTTGTACATAAAGTAATAATATTTTTCACTTGTACCTAATAATGATATTCCAACTTCTAATTTTTACCTCTATTGTCTAACCATTGATAAACACAAAACCCATGTTAAAAAAAATATTCTGTGACTTCTTTGTCCTTTATCTTCAACGTTAACCTATCCATTTCTGCATGATCTAGTATTTTTCTAATTATATTTTCATCTGTAGAAATTTCCTCATTCTTCCAGTGCTGCGCAAATACAATTTCCGCTGCTGTCAAGATACGTAGTTTTAAATATATGTTCCTTTGCCATATTTTTCCGGTATTATACCTACAAAAATATTTCTGGCTTTAAGTCTATGTGTTGCTTTATCATTTTCTCTCACCATGTGTGTATTTTTGTCCAATTTTTTTTTTGCTTTTGGGCAAAAACCTCCCTTGATCTTGATTGTATCGCTCTTTTAATGCAACTTGGGATTGCATTGGCTTTTTAAAGCTGCCACCGCATTCGGCTGGCTCCTATTTAACTGGTTGCCCACTAAGACTCCAAGATCCCTCTCACACTGACTGCTATGAAGTCCGGTTTCTCTTAGTCTACCCTGTTTCCCCGAAAATATGACCTACCCAGAAAGTACGTCCTAGCTTGATTTTTACATGTACGCCCAATATAAGCCCTACCCCCAAAATAAGCCCTAATTAAGATCCCCCCTACTCCAGAGTAGATGGGTAAACATTAAGCTAGGGTGGGGATGGGCGGATGAGGCAGCCCTACTACTTGCCTTTGGACAGGTGTAGCCAGGCCTCACACACCTAATGCACACATTTCTTCTGCAGCCGGCAAGGCTGGCAAGGCTTTCCTGAAGGCCTCTGGAGCTGATAACAAAGGTCTGGATCGATCCAAGCTCTGTTATCGGCTGCAGAGGCCTTGCCAGCCACAGAAGAAGTTCCTGAAGGCCTCTGACAGCGAAAAGGAGGCCGGGGACGATATGCACAAGTAAGGTTATTGGATGACATCCCCTGAAAATAAGACCTGGTACCTTTTTTGTGTGTGTCACAAAAAAATATATAAGACAGGGTCTTATTTTCGGGGAAATATGTGTACTTTTGGTTTTTCTTGCCTAAGTGCAAAACTTGGATTTTTCTCTCTGTTGAATTTCATTAGATAGGGCTCTAGAGGTCCCACCCCACCCGTACCGTGGGCTTGCCACTTTTCTCCTCTTCGGCTGCAGGTCCTGCCACCTTGTTGATGATGGGTGCCACATTGGTGGGGCCGTACAGCTCGATCTGGGGCAGACAGCGCTTGTAAGCCTCGATCACCCCAAGAATCTCTGCCAGGGAAGGAAAGAAACTTAGATTCCCACCAGATCTGGCACAGGTCAACTTCCCGCCGGGCACTTGCGCCCTTCCTCCTTCCCTCCTTAATATTTCCTCTTTCAAAAAATTATCTCTTTCCTTCCTTCCTTCCTTCCTTCCTTCCTTCCTTCCTTCCTTCCTTCCTTCCTTCCTTCCTTCCTTCTTCCTTCCTTTCCTTCCTCTGCCACCCTTCTTCCTCCTTCCTTTTTTCCACCCTTCTGCCTGCTTCCTTCCTTCCTTCCTTCCTTCCTTCCTTCCTTCCTTCCTTCCTT